ATAACTTTGTTTCCTTTGAATAAACGTTATCCAATTTAGGATAACACTCCCAGTACCACAAGCCTCTATCTTTCCCAACAGTCTGTCGCGTGGAACGGTATCAAAGTCTTTGCTAAAGTCAAAGTCTTGAGTGTCACAATCCTTTCCACAATCACCTGTCTCAAATATGCTGGAGAAAAAGCAGAAATTTGTCAAATATGAGTGACCATAAGTTAACCCAAGGTGTGAATCATATATTAACCTAAGCTTTTTTCACGTGTATCGAATGGCTTTTTTTGAGGTGTATACGAATGTTGTTGACTTTTTATAGATGAAGTAGTGTTGGAGGAGATAAGATAGATATAGAAAGGGAGAGGGGGAGAGAGAGAGGATAGGGAGGGCGAGAGATAGGCTCGAGAGGGAGAGACATAGGATAGGGAGGGAGAGAGATAGAATAGGGACCGGACCGGGCTGTGGTGGGTATGTGGGCCTGCGGGCCGCTCCAAGCAACAGCCTGGTGGACCAAACTCTCACAAGTCGAGCCTGGCCTCGGGCCGGGCTTGGGGAGTAGAAGAACTCCCAGAACCCCATCAACCAGGTATCAACCAGGGAGGAGAGAGATAGGGGGGGGGTGGAAGGCGATGCTAGTAACTGAGCCTAACTTTAAGAATAACCAAAAAGAACAGAAAGTTTAGAGTATAACATCCCTTAACTTCAGTATCTCTGAAAAACATCTCATTTTTTAAAACCGATGTCCCTCAGTAACCTCCAGTCCTCCAGTCGCAGGAAGGAGAATTAGGTCTATCATATATGTATATGATTAATGAAGAAAGACCTTGCGTCTGGTTCAATGACTTGGTACATTGAAAGAATGAATACCAAACAGATTTTTTTTCCTATATCTGGGCTATCTGTTTATATTAGACATAAATAAGTATGAAACATAAACATAGACACGTATGAAATATGTGCTTCGGTGAAGAGTCTCTCGGAGAAGCTGGCATTTTGACATTAATTGTAAGATGTAAACACCTCGCTCATAACAAATGTTTTACTTAAAGCTTTACTGAACGCCATTTCACGTGTCCAATATTCACACATTGTGAGCAATGGGTGAATGTATCGCCTGAAACTAGTCCTATATGGTAATAGTTTTCATAGAGAGAGACAGACAGACAGATGCAGAGACGTAGAAAGCGGAAAAGAAAGTCGAATCCCCGAAGGTTGAGACACGGGAGAAGTTTGGCAGTAAGAATCTTACGCTTGACTCTGGAGAGGATTAGCACAACACCAGGGGCGAGTTTCGAACCTGGCCAACAAAAGTTACAGTCTTACTCAAGTATCAAAAAAGCCACAATGTCTAATTTTCCCCGCCACACACTACCTCTTGCATCTTCTTTCTGAATTGGAGTTAAACACACACACACACCTCGAGCTAAAAAAAAAAAGAGGTCTCTATGTTAATTTTATGTGCAATTATAGACATTTGCAAATTTTCGTACATTATTTATTTATGACGTCGGTGTATATATTAAAATATATAAAATATATTATTTTTTAGGATACAGTATTTAGTTCTCTAATAAAAGTGTTTAGTTTGTATAAGTATCCACAATCTTGTACAGTATGGATGAAATTTAAATTAATAATATTGGAAACTTTGAATGGCTAATTATAATAATCTTGTTAGCAATATAAACACTAGTACTAATATTGACCAATCTACACACTAGAAAATGAAGGGACGACGACGTTTCGGTCCGTCCTGGACCATTCTTAAGTCGATCTCAAGTCAAGCCATTCACAATCGACTTGAGAATGGTCCAGGACGGACCGAAACGTCGTCGTCCCTTTATTTTCTAGTGTGTGGATTGGTCAACATACTTCAGCCACGTTATTGTGACTCATCGCCTGCACTATTACTAATAATGATAAGTCAATAATTGCAGGAAAACGACTGATTATAATCATATCTAAGGCAGGGGATGCAATAGTACTGTGGTGATCGTAGCTATTGTAGTTGTAGTAACAGTCATCAGGCTATTGTAGTTGTAGTAACAGTTCCTGCAGTCTCGTTAACTCCTGTCTCTAGAGGGTATACTGGTGTAAACTGTTCCATAGTCGTTATTCTGGAAAGTTGACTGGTCCAAACTGTTGCACTGTCCTTATTCTGGAGGGTAGACTGGTGTAAACGGTACTTTAGAGGGCAGACTGGATTAATTTATATACTGTCCTTACTCTTGGCCAGTCTGCCCTCTAAACTGCTAATCAGTCAGGCTCTGGAGATTAGACTGCTCCGTAAATTACGGGGTTCTTCTCACACACACGTAATAAAGATTAAAGCGACTCACGGCAAACGATTTTCAACAGACATCTCAATAGCCATCTCAATATATTTTGATTCGAGTTTTAATGGTTTTTCCATTCTTAAAGGCAAATCCCGTTAGGTTTTTTTCCTCGTTTCTCTAGATCGACGTCTAACTTTTCCCCAGGCTACAGCCCATCACAGTTTCATAACTCGTATGTACCTATTTGCTGCAAGGCTAACAGAGGCATCAGATGAAAGATCCCAATAGACAACGATTGATTTTCCCAGGCTGGAACCCACAACAGTTGCCTTACTCATGAACATTTATTTATAACAGTGTGAACGGAGACATCAGGTGTAAGGGTATAGAGCGCCATGTATTACCCAGAACACGATCTTCTATTCGATTTGGTCTCCAATTACAAATTAGTAAAAAATAGTTGAGTTTGCTTTTATTGAGAAACGTTCTCTATGAAGATACACCAAAGAAAACAAATTTAATGGTTAACTATGAAGCAACTAGAAGGCTACACAAATTTAGAGCAAAAGGACAACATGAAGCATTATAGTGACTGATTGGTCTTGAATTTATCAGTCACTACGTTCGTCACTAGCAGACGGCGACGGTGAACTATTTTGTTCACCAACAGATAGGCAACATAGCACTGTGGTCCATGGTTCACCAGCTGACAGACACGCCATAGGGCTGTTTTCTCATCAGGTTAAAAGTCATTACTGATTTGAGAATGCAATTTAAGTTTAGTATATAATAATGTGCCTTTTCTGGCGCCCCTTTGACTGGCAGGAATATAAAACTCTATACAGAATTACTAAATATAATACACAATGAAGTACAATACTTTAATTACATGATTAATAACTGAGTAAAATGATTACTGCATTCTTCATAGTAAGGTTACTCGTTGTGAATAATATTATTCGTCTTTTATACTAGGAAATTCGACTTTTATTCTAGAATATTCGACTTTTATACTAGAGTATGCTTGTCTTCGAAATCAGAACAGACAGTTAACCTTAACATTAGACTACGAATGTAACTACCTAACATTCTTGCGTTGATACAGAATAGATATTTGAAATACATAATTCACGATAATTAGTCTCACTACCAGCACGTATAAGGTTCACTAGTTAAATATACATATTAAACAAGTTATTCATTCACTAATTTATTCATCTCCCTTAAATGTCAATACCAAATCACTCGCTAAATATAGGTATATATATATAACTTAATAAATGTTGGAGAAATATTACATATGATAACTAGAGCAGTCGTTGAAATAATTTCCACACTTCGCCTTCTTAGGGCTTTAGTGCGAGTTTAACTCTTTGCATGTCCACAGTGTTATGGATTATTCATTCATACTTGTTGATTTGTGGGTTTAGCATTGGCTTGGCCTGTATCATAGATGGTGCCCTCCTTGGATGCTGAGGGGGGGATTTTTTTTAATATAAATTTTGTAGTTGATTTTCGACCATAGATGTAGCCATATATTTACAGTGCTAACCAGTATATAAAGCAGATACATTATCTGCTTTCCTCGATGGAGAGGGGTTAGATATACAGTAGACACATTTATGGCTGTCTTACATAATCAGGGGTTCGAGATATGTTCTCTTACATACAGTTCAGTTCGTTATTGAATTCTCAATCACTTAATGTGATTTTTAAAGGTGAAATACAATTCTAACCAGCTTTCACATATATACATACATATTCAAATATATATTTACGTTTCTCTTACTTTGAAAGGGTAAGATATCTGCTATTGAAACTAGTGTGATATTAAACACTTAATCACTGAAGGTGATTAACGTGCGTTTTACAAGCTCAAGTTATAATAACATCACATTTATTACATAAATGATGCATTACATATTCAATCTTGGGAACAGGTCCAGTATATCATAAAGTGTTCCAGCATTTAGATATTATTTGCAAAGTAGAGCATATATCAACCCAGAGGAATAAGTCAGTCAGTCATGGAACATTCTACAATATAATGTTCAAGGGAATACATGTTTTCTTTTTTACAAAGTTGACACATTGTGTATTCGACACTTGAGTGTTGAGAAAGCTGCCATTTATGTCTGTATTCCAGGCGTATTCTGGCCATTATAATATCGCATTGCAGAGTTCTTTCTCTTTTGTTCAATATATAAATGTCTCCTCGCGGTCTTCATCATAATGTTTAATCCTACAGCTTTCAGGTCTTTGTTCATTTGTTAGGTCATTGAGGTTTTCATCGGACATTCGTTTCAGTATTCTCTTTGTCAGAGCAAATGAAACACCTGTATAAATTGATACTACTGGTCTAATACAGGCTGTCTTTTTAAGCCTGTTAACAGTGTCATGTCTGAGATGCCAACATGTGATGGTATCCAAAGGAATTTAATCTCAAATATATTTTCTTTAGCAGCTAAAACATTTATTTGAATATCCCCTGATTATTTTCTGGGTGTTATTGCCACGCATATTCAATGCCAGGAATGAACTGTGAGTCTCGGTCATGCTGTGTATACATTTTCTGATCTGTGAAATATTTCACATGTTTTGGTGGTAGTGACATTCTTCGGATCCAGACTCTTTCACGGGAGGGAAGAAGGAAGGCAGGAGGGTATTGAGAAAGAAATGAGGAAGAAAAAATGAGAGAGGAGAAGGAGGTAGGAGAAAATGTATTAGTTCCTCCTAAATATTTTCTGATTCCATTGTCTCTTCTCGTATAGCCTTAGCCAAAAGTTTGAAAGCCTGGAAAAAATCATTGTTTTCAATATTAACAAACACACATGCACACAAATACATACACATGCCTTACATACAAGGAAATACACAAGCGCGATTAGGAAACTATATTGACAGATCTTGGAATTGTATTTTGATTTGCAATACAATTTTGTGAATATTTTTGCTTCTTAAAAATCTATTAGAATATGAATTCAGAGGTTTGTCTAGTTATATTATGCAAATGCATAATAATCTTAGCTAACATAGTATATATACATATTATCATCCATTTTCTAAATTCAAAACTAAGCATCTATGCACCTTGTTATTATTCTGTATTCTTGTATCCAGCTCTCTATCCATATCTAGCACTCAGATGGATGCCTTTCTCTCTCTCTCCCTCTCTCTCTCTCTCTCTCTCTCTCTCTCTCTCTCTCTCTCTCTCTCTCTCTCTCTCTCTCTCTCTCTCTCTCTCTCTCTCTCTCTCTCTCTCTCTCTCACCTTATCCATCTCGTCAGGTGTGACGACAGAGTAGGAGACTCTCAGGTAAGAGCAAGGGTCCTTCTCCTTAACCATAAAGCAACATCCAGGCACGGCCACTACGCCTCGCCTCGCAGCCTTCTCCTCAACCAGTGCTCGCGAGTCCTCCAATCCCAACACCTGCGGTGGGAGCAGCGTGTAGGGAGGGGGATGGTGTGACACCCTTCCCCAACTCCCCCAACACTAGTGATGTGCGAGTGCTTTGGGGAGGAGGAAGGGCAAGCTGTGGCCTCTCTCCGCTAGCACTTAAGAGGTTTGAATCTAAAATGTGTCTGGGAAACAGAAGCTGAGGAAGGGCGGACGAAAAGCCGTGTTTGTGGGGAATGTTGTAGGCAGTGAATGGGAAAATGTAAGTAGGATAGGAGGATGGGACAGGGACCAGGCGTGGATAGGGCCATAGGAAGCATTAGCGGAGAAATGAAAAACATGGGTATCCAGTACAATGGAGAACATGGGGTATCCGGCACAATGGAGAACATGGGGTATCCAGTACAATGGAGAACAGGGGTATACAGTACAATGGAGAACATGGGTATCCGGCACAATAGAGAACATGGGTATCCCATACTGTGAGAAACATGTCGTTCCTGTGCTATAAGAATCCGGTACTATGGGAAATAAGGCGATCCCCTTACAGAAACTATGCCGTGTCTTACCTATTAATTATTCGATTAGCAATTATTGACTGTAATACAACAAGTGACTGCAGTACTTTCTTAATAACTGATGTGTCCTATGATGAATTCAAGTGTCCTTCATTGTCAACCTCTGATTACAGAGTTTCAGATTTATTTAAACTATAGTGTGGATTTCTCATCCGGAACTTTGGGTCCATTAACAATAGCATCACAATACCATGATATGGCTATGAGGAACTCTTTTGGAGCAGTGTGTAGAGTTAAACTCGCATCCTGGGTCATCACATTGCATTACCCACTTGACCACAATGAGTTCAATGTAGTTTAGTCGGTAATGTGTGTGTGTCCAGGGCTCCCTCGTGAGGCGAGGGGCCTACGTAGGCCAGGGCCAGGCTACGAGGGGCCTCGTAGCCTGGTGGATAGCGCGCAGGACTCGTAATTCTGTGGCGTGGGTTCGATTCCCGCACGAGGCAGAAACAAATGGGCAAAGTTTCTTTCACCCTGAATGCCCCTGTTACCTAGCAGTAAATAGGTACCTGGGAGTTAGTCAGCTGTCACGGGCTGCTTCCTGGGGGTGGAGGCCTGGTCTAGGACCGGGCCGCGGGGACACTAAAAAGCCCCGAAATCATCTCAAGATAACCTCAAGATAACCTCCCCAGGACGCGTGTTCGATTCCACAAATTTCTTACAAGACTTCCTCATTTGGTTTTCTAACAAAAAATCAATTATGGAAAAACAGTTATGATTTTGAAGAGAGAAATAACTGTGATGTTATATAGACATGCTTAGTGCTTTACATTGATAATTACTTCAATGCTAGTAAGGTAAAGTAATTACCAGGAGAAAGTTCAAACCATTATGGCTAGTAATAAGATTTAAGTGTTCTTAGTGTTTCTTAAGACTTTGCAACATGGACTGTACAATGTGGACTGAAATGGCGCGCAATTACTTTAGTACCACCTAGGGACACAAACAGACACAGGAATCTGTACATTAGTTGCTTGACTGTTGGGAGTATTCATTTACTTGATGAGTAAATGAGTACTTAAATGATTATAAAAACCGAGTATCGACTTTCATGCCATGTCATTTCTGTGCTGTTTAGTGATATAAAATGCCACAGTGTGCCTTTAGGTGGGTTGGAGGGGAACTTGGGGAATAAAACAGCAAGGGGGATCGAACCAACGCCACGTACCTTGATCCAGAAAAACATTCCACCGCTTGCCAGCCTCCACTCGCAAAGCCCTAGAGAGGAAGGAGGAGAATTACTGTAATTCTCATCCACTCACACGAATGCACGCATGTGCATACATACATACACACTAATGGGTATACACATTGAAACGCTCTTACACACAAACCCACAGACTAATGAGTGGACACAAGCATACACACAAACACACGCTAATCGCTAAGCAGTAACATACATTGACATACTAACGCGTACTTGCAATTATGCACGTAAACAAACTCACATTCTTACACGTGGACAGACATGTAGTCGATGTAAACAGGATGATTCATGTTGCTTTGTTTTCCCTTGCATTTCCTCGTGTATTTGTTAGTGTATTGTGTGGGGGTGAGTGTATAGTGTGGGGGTGAGTGTATAGTGTGGGGGTGAGTGTATAGTGTGGGGGTGAGTGTATAGTGTGGGGGTGAGTGTATAGTGTGGGTGTGAGAGTATAGTGTGGGGGTGAGTGTATAGTGTGGGGGTGAGTGTAGAGTCTTTCGAGTGTATTGTACCTTGGGAGATAATTACAAATTCACGTTTTGACTGACCAGTGAGATGTCTCTCCGCAGCACACTGCATAATATCTCGTCGCTCGCGGTAGAGATCACGCACTTCGCGGCCGTGATGCAGGTACCCCTGCAGACCCCAGCGTCGCAGTATCTCACTCAGCATTACCTGTGGTCCAAACCCAGTGGCGAGTTATCACGAGTGAGGCCAGAAGGACCTGATGGAAAGTTCTCAAGAAAAGTTGATAACGAAGATAACACGAAGCTCAAAGTTAGGAGAACCATTCAGATACTAGCAGAAGAAACTGGAGTGTAACACGGTATCTGAGAGATACTAGCAACCACCTGGGAGATAAGACAATGCTTGGGAGATACTAGCAGAAACTTGGGAGATGAGAGCAAGCCTGAGAGAGAGGTCAGAGGAAACTCCCACCGTCAGGAATTGCGACAAGGAGAACACTCACATAACCCCCGTAACAGACAGCAGAAAACTTTGAAGGAGAATCCATAACAACACCTTGAAAGGAAGCAAGAAAAAAGTTTTATGTAGACGAGAATCTGAGAAAATCCTGGCAAAATCTAACGAAGAGCCACCGGGCAGAAGACTTCAATAAGACAAGATATCACCACCGCTTACCTGAGGGAGAACAGAGGCGTGGAGAACAGTGGACATCACATCCATCACAATCCTCTCAATCAGGGGCTTAGGTCCCGTGACGTAGCCAATGCGCAATCCGGCGCTCACTGTCTTCGAGAAGGAGTCGAACCGGACGACTCGGCCCTCTATGTCCAACTCCAGGAAGCTCGGAAGCGCCTTCTGGAGAGTTGCGGAGGTATAGTAGGCTGAGAAAGCTCTCTTAAAGAGGTGCTGCATATGTAAAGTTGATAAAGACAAGGGGCTTCTTAAGAGCCAATCAGTGAATTAATGCTAGAGAGTAAAGTTAAGAGTTTAGGGACGAGCATTAAGAGTAGGGCTTAAGAGTCCCCTAAGGCACGTGTAACAGAAGAAAGGTAACATCCAAATCTACACCATCACTTAGATATGTAATTATCTTAATGAATCTTAACTGATAGAATCCTTGGGAATAACGAAAAATTTCTAGAAAACTTGAAGTGTTCAAAATAACTTGATAGTGTTTAAAATTTGCTAGAAAAAAATGGTCTATGAAGGTAAATGAAGATTTTAAGAACGATCTTTAGAGTATTGAAAATATTATATATTATTGAAAGAATCTCTAAAAAAAAATATATAATTATTGGAACGGATATGTAAAGTTATTTAGATGCATAAAGGTAACTGCAGAAGTCTATGGAACCTAAAGAATGGAAAGTTACACTTAATGAAGGCTGACCTTCAAGAAGGTGACCCTCGATGAAGGCTGACCTTCAAGAAGGAGACCCTCGATGAAGGCTGACCTTCAAGAAGGTGACTCTCGAAAAAAACTGACCTCACAGAAATGTAAGAAGTAATATGGGTCATCTTCAAGAATGATGAGGTCATGTTCACAGGCGATGGAGTAGATCTCACGCCGACTGGCCTCGTCTATGGTCGTCCCAGTTGGGTTGTTTGCGGTTGGATTCAGATAGATCACCTGAAGGAGGTCGGGAGGTCAAGCAAGGTCTTGGGGGTCGTGTTGACTTTACAGTACTTCCTGGAATTTACAGACACCAACTTCGAACGCTCGAGCCCCAACCCACACTTTGGCTAACTGTCAACACAACCATACACCCTCACCTGGCAACCCGTTCTCGCACTTTCGTATAGTCAATATTGACTTATTAAATACGTGCATATGTGACATACCAAACATACTAGTTTACCTTGAAAAGCTTCATAGAAAAACACCGATCTTACCTAACCTTCTTAGTATGTTAAGATAAGCATCTTATTGCTTCGTAATTACAATTATTACTTAACCTATTATTACTTAACCCTATTATAGGTTAAGTAATAATTGTAATTACGAAGCAATAAGAAGCTTATCTTAACATACTAAGAAGGTTAGGTAAGATCGGTGTTTTCTATGAAGCTTTTCAAGGTAAACTAGTATGTCACATATGCACGTATTTAATAAGTCAATATTGACTGTAAGAAAGTGCGAGAACGGGTTGCACCTGGGTATACCTCCCTCCTCACAGCTACCACCACCCTCACCTGGGTATACCTCGCTCCTCACAACTACCACCACCCCCTCTCCATCTTTACCTTAGCTGGGCAAGAAGCACTTTTAGCTAATGCCTCACGTAGCTGGCTGGGCTCCAGCCCCTGGTCACCGGTCGTTACAGGTATGATGCGAGCACGGATTACGTTGAGCTGAAATTTAACACGTTGAGAGTAAATTTTTACTCCTAAATTATTTGCAAATACTATTTCAGATTTCACAGTCTTTACTAATTCTGCGTAAAACTACACACTATTTTACGTAGAATATGAAATGACTTTGTAGAATTTAATTAGTCTCTTGGTCAAAGTAGATTAGCATAGACAGGCGATGACATAGATTAGCATAGACAGGCGAAGTTTTTCTCTGTGTGGCGTTACATCAGTAACGTCACACAGAGAAAAACAGAAAGAGAGAGAGGCAGAAGCATTTGTCCATAAGGTCCACTGAACGTCCATAACAGCTTCCATGGTATAAATGGCCAGACACACACACGGATACAGGAAAAAGCGAGCCACAACCAGGGGAACCACCACACTAACAACAACACAAGTGACACAACGAAGACCACCAACATTCACCCGTATCAGCCGCCTGCACCACCACCACTCACCGCGTTCACGACCCCGATGGAGCACGGCTCTTGGAGTAAGACGGAGTCGCCAGGATTAAGGAGCTGGGTGAAAGCCATTGAGAGGCCGTGGATGCTGCCAAGAGTCACAGCGACGCTCCTCTCACACCCACCAGGAGGGTGGTGAAGCTCTTCACTCATCTCCTGCAACTGCTTCACCAGCGGAGGAAACCTGCAAGAATCACCATCATGATTCTGGTCTTCCTTCACATGTGACGCCACGAGATATAAAAACATAAGAACCAAGAAGGCTTATTGGCCCATACGAGGCAGCTCCTTGGCCCATACGAGGCAGTTCCTTGGCCCATACGAGGCAGTTCCTTGGCCCATACGAGGCAGTTCCTTGGCCCATACGAGGCAGTTCCTTGGCCCATACGAGGCAGTTCCTTGGCCCATACGAGGCAGTTCCTATGTTATCATACAAAGGTAAGGATCACGAACAAGCGTTAAATCAGTATGACTATATAGCACTTGCAAGGCATATGAGGGATAAGGAAGATGGGTCAGGACGGAAGGAAGAAATGGTGCCCAACCACTTGGCCCATCGGGAATCGAACGCCGACCTGATTATAACGAAGTCGTTGCTCGTCCGACCAGTCATAATTGCGTAAAATACAAAGGTATATATTTTTTATATAAAAGCATTATAATTTATAGGTCAATGCCAAAGTGACCAGAGGATAAACCAGTCGTGATAAAGTACATAAATGAGATTATTAATACTTACGATATACGGTGTATACTGGGATATACATCTTAAAGAAAGGAAGAAAATACCGAGAAATGCGTGGAACTAATTACTGTATTTGTATAAAGGAATTTTTAAGATACTTTGAAGGAGATTTATTTAATGCAGCAGCTGTCCCTATACCTGATCTTTGACACTTACCATCAGCTGCCTCCAGTGATACTATACTCACCATCAACTGCCTCCAGTCAGTCAGTCAGATATACCAGCTTAGTGTCGAAGCTTAACTGAATCAATCAGATATACCAATTTTGTATAGAAGCTAACGATTGGTCACGTATGCTCATCTAGTGTTGAAATTTAGCTAATCAGATATTTCAATTTGTGGAAGAGCTTAACTCAGCCACTCAGAGAGGCGAATACGACCGTCTCTCAGCCACTCAGCGATATCTGGCACAGAAGGGTCGGGGCGCCAGCCTTTGAAGCTATTGGATTTTTAATGCAATTACTCTCCATTCTCGAGTTTCTAATTATGTTTGGTTTTAAAATGCGTATTGAGTAAATGAGCATTCCACGTTCTCTTTCATTTCATTTTCTCTTTCATTCCATGTTCTCCTTCATTCTACTGATTATTATTGGGAACATTTCATTTTCGTCAGTAGGATGTATTTATTATCGTTCTTCGTTATCATGTCTGCCCCAGAATTTTCGTGTGATTTTCCCAACATTGGTGAGCAAGAGAATCTTTCTTGACAGATCAGATTCCTCACGAGGAATGCTTATAGGGTTCTTAAGGTTCGATATGATTTCTAATTGCATGACATTGCAGACGCTACTCTGGACTAGAATAGGAAGATTAGAAGCAAGAGTTACGACTGAGATTTTGAAGAACCTACCCAGAGCTTGCAGAGTACTGGAGGGCACTTGCCATGAGGTCCTTGTTGATAGTGAGTATCTGTCCATCGCGAAGGGTGAAGGTGGCATCCAGGATTGGAAAGGTGGTAGGGTTTGGCATTCCCCCTGTCAGCCAGATCGATCTAGATTTCTTATTGGATTCTTTACGGTTGTCTGGAATGGCGAGGTGGCATTATGTATAGGATGGTGAGTAGTGTGGGACAGGGAGATGTCATTGTCATTATATTGTGCTGGTTATTTGTTTGGGGAAGATGAGAGGAGATGTCTGTCTCATACTGACACCTCTCTCATCCACACACTCCTCCATACTGACACCACTCTCACCCATACACACTCCTCCATACTGACACTCTCACCCACACACACTCCTCCATACTGACACCACTTTCACCCACACACACACTCCTCCATATTGACACTCTCACCCACACACACTCCTCCATACTGACACCACTCTCACCCACACACACTCCTCCATACTGACACCACTCTCACCCATACACACTCCTCCATACTGACACCACTCTCACCCACACACATTCCTCCATACTGACACCACTCTCACCCATACACACTCCTCCATACTGACACCATTCTCACCCACACACACTCCTCCATACTGACACCACTCTCACCCACACACACTCCTCCATACTGACACCACTCTCACCCACACACACTCCTCCATATTGACACTCTCACCCACACACACTCCACCATACTGACACTCTCACCCACACACTTCCCAGAACCAAATTTGTAACTTAACCTTTTCATTTAACAATTTTATAAAAATTATATACACCCATAAATCCCAATTAATTTCCCTATAAATTAAGGTTGTGATAATTTAACACCTTATGAATTAAAGCTGGGATAATGATCAAGCTTAGCTGAGGGAATTTATCAACTATTTGGATGATTTCCCCAAATCATTTCGCACAAAAAGGAAATAATATTTCCCCCCATATTTACCAAGCTGTTCAGTAGCGGTGAACTTCCGGCGGAGACCCACGTCAGAGAAGAACCTGGAGAGCTCCATTGCTTAACGCTGTGGAGATCGTGGGGGGCTGTAGGTATCGTTAGATTTTGAAACGATAGTAGGGGGGAGGGGTTGTAGCAATCGTGAAAAAGCACCAAACAACAATTCCCCAATTTCCAACTTGGGGAAAAAGAGCTCAGCGACACGGGTATATTCAGGAGGGCTCTCTAATCAACACTACAAGCTTCCCCCAGTTAAGGACGTCTACCAGGCCAGGTATTTTGGTCAGCATGACTAAGGTAAACACGCCAGACTATGACCAGAATTCCAACGTAGGAGTGATTCTGACGCCTGTCGGTCTGTTTCTTTCTTCTCTATGTTTTTCTCTCTCTTTACCTCTCCCTCTCTCTCTCTCTCTCTCTCTCTCTCTCTCTCTCTCTCTCTCTCTCTCTCTCTCTCTCTCTCTCTCTCTCTCTCTCTCTCTCTCTCTCTCGGGGATCGTAGTCCTAAGGGCCCGGGTTAAATTCTTGGTCGAGACAGAAACAAATGGGTGGAGTTCTTTCATCTGATACAACCGTTCACCTAGCAATAAATATGTACCTGTGAGTTAGGCCGCTGCTAAGGGCTACATCCTGAGGATTGAGCTAGAGAGAAATAAATATATGTAGTAGATGTGTTAGAGGAAAATTAGTAGGTAGTCACTACATTAGACATCTGACGGTTAGAAAGGCGGGGTCCAAGAGCTAACCGCTGGATTCAGCAGGCATAAATAGTAAATACAAGGAGTAGATACTCACTTCTAACAGCTTCGCCATCACACTTACCACCACCACCATCACCACCACCATCACCACCACCATCACCACCACCATCACCACCACCAACAACAACAGCTCCAGCATCACCACAACCACCACCACCACCACAACCACCACCACAAGCGTGTCGGGTCGGCAACTCTTCACACGTAAAAACCAGAGTTGGCACATATTCCAGTCAGTCTTCGCTTGGACGCCGTGGAGTGAGGGTGTCATTCTCTCTCCATATCCAGTGATCTCTCTTATCATGTATTTACATATTTTACATATCTGAGAACACATAAGATGTAAATACATCTTATGATGTATTTACATATCTGAGAACTCTATATATCTAATTAACTCTTCCATTACGTCACAAAGTGCTGTAGTCTGAAAAAGCATTACCTGAAAGGCACATTTTGTTCCATAGAATTAATAAGTGGCATTGTAATTGCATCTTACAATTTACATCCTGAAAAAATGTGTAAAAAAACGTATTGCAAGGCTGATGTCTACGTCAAATTGCACTCGGGGTTGCATGAAGACTTCCAGTGACACGTTTGTTGTGTGATTCGTCAGTGAAGATTTGTTCTGAGGAAATCCGCGTGTCGCTAACGGTGATATATGGAGTCCTTACTGGTGATCACCTGCTTCATCGGTGAGTATGAGTATGAGACCCATTACTCATCCAAACACAACACACCACACCCACATACCCACACCCTCTTCCACCCACATACCCACACTTCCACAGAGGAGACAAGGCATGTTAACTTATCCTGTTTTATATATATATATATATATATATATATATATATATATATATATATATATATATATATATATATATATATATATATATATATATATATATATATATATATATATATATATATAGATAGATATATAGTCCATACATAGTATATATTAGTCCATACTATATATTATAGTAGTCCATATATATATTATATTAGTATTATTAGTATATATTTAGTCCATATGTAGCGTGTGCTTATATCAGTTCATTATTTTCTGATGTTATATATATATTTCAATCTATTTGGATCCATATAATAATTAATTATATATATTATATACTTATAATATAAATGTCTATATATGACTAAATACCTGACCTGAATCCATGTGGACGTGTGTTTCTGTCTGCGTGTGTGTGCGCGCGCGCAGAACTTCCTTACCAACACAAGGGAGTGAACGGATAACTTTGAAAAATTGGATTTGGGTTTCAGTTATTTGCAATAATGTTGATATAGCCACGTCTGAAAAAGCCTTTATCTCTGCTTATATGTCTATACCTATGTCTGTCTAAGTCGTTGTGATTTTAACAGAAACATTATCACTACCTTCACAGTTGTTACTTTGGATCTTCAAGCTCTTTACGAACACTGTGTTATCTTGTTAGACTTTAACCCGCCAAAGGTCGAAGTCTAAGAAGACGAAGTTTTTCGAAGTCTTTCGAAACAAAGACAAAAATCTTTCGAAAGAAAGTTTCTTCGTCCTTCGAAGGACGAAGTCTTTCTTTCGCAAGTTCACAGTTTAACGATTAATTACACTATAACTGAAGCGATCTTCCGGCCGCTACCAGAAGGACCTTCTGTGGCTCCCCTCCTCCCAAACCCCGCGCCCATTAGAGACATATTAATACCGACAGTTTTATCCTTAAGTTGCTGAGCCTCGAATTAACGTTGGGAGGTCTGCTCTCTTCTCTGATTCCTGCCCACAACGTCGACCAAACTGTCGACCAGTCACACCTCAAGTCTGTCTCCTGTGGCCCTCTTCCTTCCCTCTGCTTATTCGGATAATAAAGTTCATTGTTCTCTTACTGTACATTATATGCATCAATAATTTGGTTGTCAATCAAGACCCTAATTCATTAGTATAATAATGATCGTATAAAACAGTTCAATTATTTCATATCTTCGATCTTCTTCAGTACTCAAGGCTTCGATGGTCTGATATAAGTCTTATTCTCGGCCCCAAGACCCTTTGGTAAGACTTATCCTCCTCTGCGAGAGGATATATGCTTCGAAAACCAGAAATAAGCCTTATCCAGGCTATGAGAATTTGAGATAAATCGTCCATCTCGCTTAAAGTGCCTGAGATGGCTTTGTCAGGCTTTCCGTACTTCGATAACCTGCCACACTTCTTCTTCTTCGCCAAGACTTACATACTTTAAAAATATATGGCAAGTTGTCCAAAATAAAGCCACGTGGCCCTTGTTTAAGCATTAGCGAGACGTGAATCAAAATAATGTTCCATCAAATATTACTTTGGATTCCTTAAGTAATTCTTTTAATTCCTCAAGTGATTCCTTTGATTCCTCAAGTGAGTCCTTTGATTCCTCAAGTGATTCATTTGATTCATCAAGTGAGTCCTTTGGATTCCTTAAGCGACTCGTATAGATTCCTCGAGTGATTCTTTGGATTCCTGCGACGACTGACTGCACTGTTCAACACAGCAGTTGAGACGAAGACTTTTAGTTACCTCATGATTGTAACTGAGAAATGAGTGGTTCTGTGACCTCCCTCAAAAAAGAAAACAAGGTGCTCAATTCCCGACCGTCCAAGTGGTTGGGTACCACTCTTTCATACCGCCCCATCCCTAATCCTTATCCTGACCCCTTCCTGGTGATCAATTGATCACTTGGAATGCTAAGTGAAAGCACCAAGCCATTGGCGTAATGGCTTGGCGCTTTCCCCTGATAATTCCCTCCCTCCCTACCTCAAGAAAGAATGAGGCGACCTCTTTCACGACAGAAATAGGTCCCTTTTTAAAATAGGGAAAATGGGGAACACATTAAAGTTAATGTGCCACCTCTCAACACGACAATTGATACTGAAAACAACTCGGGAAAAACATCCCAAACGAAGAGACAAAAGGGCGAAGAATGAGTTCGGGGAAATCAAACAAGAGTCGCGTTTCTGGATGGTTATTGATTATTAATCAAAATCGTACACGTGCAGCGGGTTTCAGGGTACAGAAAATAGGAGCCGGATTTTTCTGGTCTCGTGAACGAAGCTGATGACCCTTCAGGCGCCCAAAACACTTACCTGAAACCAATAAAGTCGCTTTTAAACTTCTTTTTGATTTCAACAACAACAACTTCTTTTGGATTCGTTCGCTGTTATGTTTTTGTTTATGTCTGCTCGACGCAATGAGATCTTTATAGACTGACTGGTCGATGTATTGGGATATTCTTGATTCATTGTCTGATCGATGCAATGTGAAGTTCTTTATTTAATGTTTGGTCGACGCAGTGTGAAGTTCTTTATATCAATGTCTGGTCGACGCAGTCTGAAGTTCTTTATATCACTGTCTGGTCGACGCATTGTGAAGTTCTTTATATCAATGTCTGGTCGACGCATTGTGAAGTTCTTTATATCAATGTCTGGTCGACGCAGTCTGAAGTTCTTTATATCACTGTCTGGTCGACGCAGTGTGAAGTTCTTTATTCAATGTCTGGTTGACGCAACTTCGTGCACTTCTCTCATCTGCGTTTCATGCTAGTCCGTGCACACCGAAGTAATTCAACCTTAATGGTATTCAAAATGAAGCCCAGTTTTAATTTCAGCATGCACAGAGGTGCACTGATAGTCAACAAGATCCACACTTGTTTGAAAGTGAGTTTCGAGTGATTGAAAATTAAACTCACTGACGGTAGTATTTCAGGTTCCAATATGGCAGCACCATATTGTATTGTTATTTTCATTGTATTTGTGTATTAACAGGATCGAGAAGAATGGGTGACAATAGAACCACAAAATAAACCTGTCATTTTTGGCAGCCGTTTGTTTCACATATTAAAAAATATCTGACAGTGTAGTTGGCATTACAACAGTTGTTCTGTGCTGTAACAGTGGCTCTGTGTTGCAACAGTGGCTCTGTGCTGTAACAGTGGCTCTGTGCTGTAACAGTGGCTCTGTGCTGTAACAGTGGCTCTGTGTTGCAACAGTGGCTCTGTGCTGTAACAGTGGCTCTGTGTTGCAACAGTGGCTCTGTGCTGTAACAGTGGCTCTGTGCTGTAGCAGTGGCTCTGTGCTGTAACAGTGGCTCTGTGCTGTAGCAGTGGCTCTGTGCTGTAACAGTGGCTCTGTGCTGTAACAGTGGCTCTGTGCTGTAACAGTGGCTCTGTGCTGTAACAGTGGCTCTGTGCTGTAACAGTGGCTCTGTGCTGTAACAGTGGGTCTGTGCTGTAGCAGTGGCTCTGTGTTGCAACAGTGGCTCTGTGTTGCAACAGTGGCTCTGTGCTGTAACAGTGGCTCTGTGCTGTAGCAGTGGCTCTGTGCTGTAACAGTGGCTCTGTGCTGTAACAGTGGCTCTGTGCTGTAGCAGTGGCTCTGTGCTGTAACAGTGGCTCTGTGCTGTAGCAGTGGCTCTGTGCTGTAGCAGTGGCTCTGTGTTGCAACAGTGGCTCTGAACGTGAGTCCATACAAGAGTATAATCATGTAAGAAGTACAGTACCGTGGGTCGTGAGATACAGTCTGCCACTGTACAGTAATACAGTATGACTTTGCAGCTCTGAAGTTCAGAATCAGTAAGTACATCATTACATGGATAATGGGAAATAGGTAGTTGAGCTAACTGGCTACAAATATCGTGTTTCTTTGTAAGGAAGAAGGGGGACAATGTAGCATTTTGCTTATAGAATAAAAATAGAACCATAGCTGGTTTTCACAAGTCAAGCCTGGCCCCAGGCCGGGCTTGGGGAAGTAGAGGAACCCACAGAACCGAATCCGGATAAGCTCCAGATAGCTCAATTACATTGGATTGCTTAATCGGCCATTAATTCGAGTGAAAGGTCTGGGGAACATTTTCCAGAGATTTTGCGGGTTTTCCTCCAGATTTAGTTGACAGCCGTATTGGTACTGACATCTCACTCCTATCACTGGCGTCAGTTGTTAGTAGTATTAATGCACAGGTTCTTGTCAATTTAGAATTCGAGTCTGTAGTTTACCGTGCAGTCGTTAGTCAGCCATGGGAAGCATTACTGAAATTCTTGGCACGAACTATTTGCACCAAACTTACTGTGAATATAAGAGAGTAATGTTAACTATATCACATTTAACAGTAGAGGATAATGTAAATAGTTTACAATCTGACTTATGAACATAAGAATTAATGACACTACAGAAAGGCTATTGGTTCATGCAAGACAGGTAATATTTATATCCACCGAAACTCATTCATATAAAAGTAGAATCCAGCCAAACCCCGTCAATTATATTACTGAGAAATGTGATCCATAGAACGATCCAATTTATATGCATTGTTTCTAGTTCTGTCTTGCAATAGACACTCAAGCAACGAGCCAGACGCGCTGGCAACATTCAGACGGCACACATCTATGAGGGTTTTCTTTCTTGAGGTTATCTTGAGATAATTTCAGGGCTTAACGTCCCCGCGGCCCGGTCCTCGACCAGATCTCCTTTTTGTTACATATCCCCAGGAAGCAGCCCGTAGCAGCTGTCTAACTCCCAGGTACCTATTTACTGCTAGGTTGAACAGAACATCAGGGTGAAAGAAACTCAGCCCATTTGTTTCCCCCCTCCGCCGAGGATCGAACCCAGGACTACGAACCCCGAGCACTGTCTACTCAGCCGTCAGGCCCGTCTTCCTTTATTCTGTAAAACAACAGTG